GTCAGTGGTTGAGCGTCTGCCTTTGGCTCAAGACATAATCCTAGTTTGGGGATCGAGTTCCACATCAGACTCCCTGTAAGGAGCCTTCTTCTCCTCTGCCTGTGTCTCTGCCTCTTTCTGTGTGTGTCTCTCATGAATAAATAAATAAAATCTTTAAAAAAAAAAAAAAGGAAACTGGAGGTTGCTTGTTGAGCCTAGCATTGGAGCCATGGGAGAAGAATTTCCAGGGGGAACTCATCCAGGCTGTCGTGGGCATGGCAATATGTCCCTGACCACCTACAGAACCTATGTCACTGTGGGCTAATGCTCTAATGCTGCTCCTCCCAGACTGAAAAGTGCATCCTCCTCATCATAGTGCTGCACAAACCCTGAAAGATCCTGCTCGGTAGGCTCTGTTTCTGTGTTGTTTCTTTCTGAGTTTGGGTTGGGTTGGGTTATTTTGGCTCCATAGGGACCATCTCCTTCAGGGTAATTCATTTCTTCTTCTGGCACAAGTCAAGTAAGTTGTCTTCATTTCTATCAATAGATCAACTTACATTTTTACCTATAGTATATTTGAATGACTGTTCTCTCTCACACTTGCCCACTTGCTCTATCCTGAATATTTTTTAAACCTTTTATTTATTTGACACAAAGAAAAAGAACATAAGCAGGCAGAGCAACAGGCAGAGGGAGAGGGAAAAGCAGACACCCTGCTGAGCAGGGAGCCTGACAGGAGGCTGAATCCCAGGACCCCAAGATCATGACCTAAGGTGAAGGCAGACACTTCACCGATTGAGCCATCCAGGCACCCCATGAACTTTTTAAAGCAATATTACATTTCAAATTTTCACTCACTAATTGCTAGTCAGTTTAGAATCCTTTATAAAAAAAGAACAGTACCTCTTTTCTGAATTTTATATTTACACTCCTTCCTAGTTTTCTTCTGAGTTCCTTGCTTTTTGCTTTTTTTCTTCTTGATATGGTGACTATATATATATATCCATTATATATATTTCCATTATATATTTCCAATATATATATGTTTCATATATATATATATATATATATATATATATATATATATATATATATATATATCCTATTTGCTGAAAGCCCTTCTCCCAGTTTCACAAGTCTTTATGTTTTGGAGTCTTTTTTATTACAAAGTTTCTTAATTTTAACATAGATATATAAGTAATTTTTCTTATTTTTGGTTGTAAGAAGGACTTCCTTGTCCCCAGGATACAAACATAATCTATATTTTCTTCTGATTTTTTTAAATTTTTATTTATTTATGATAGTCACAGAGAGATAGAGAGAGAGACATAGGCAGAGGGAGAAGCAGGTTCCATGCACCGGGAGCCTGACGTGGGATTTCGATCCCGGGTCTCCAGGATCGCGCCCTGGGCCAAAGGCAAGCACCAAACCGCTGCGCCACCCAGGGATCCCTTCTTCTGATTTTTAAAATAATTTTATTACATACTCTTAGAATCTTAATACATCTGGAATTCATTTTTGTTAATTGTATGAAATTAAGCAGCAGTATGTTTTTGTAGAATTGAGCTTCTTATACCAATTACAGTTGAGAAATTCATTAACTTCCTGCCAATCAAAAAACCCTAATTCTGTCTTCTATCACCTCTATCACCACTAATTCACCTTCTATCCCCTCCTCCTAAAGAATAACATCTCTTTCCCAGATGGCCATATTCTAATACACATTGACAAGGCTCAAATCTTTCTACAGCCCCCCTACCCAGTCAGTCTATCCATTCAGTTGCCCAAACCAAAAACCTTAGCTTTCTCCTGGGCTCATCTCTTCATCTCACACCTCGAAACCAATTTAAGAGTAAATCTCTGAAAATATATACCATATCTGACCACTTCTCACCACTTCCATTATGACCTTTCTGGTCTAGGCCACCATTATCTCTCACCTGGACTCCTCTAGAACTTTCCTCCCACTGCCTTACTTACTCTGCAGTCTGCCTGCTTACTCTGCCTGCTTACTCTGCAGTCTCATCTCAGCCAGCAGTCAGAATAATACCTAAAAGTAGTCAAACAATGTCACTTCTCTGCCCCAAAGCCTCCCTGTGCTCCACATCCCACTCTGAAGTCTCGGACCAGTTTTCTTCTTGTCTGGGGTCCTCTTCCCTCATTCGCTGGCATGACTAGGTCTGTGGTTGAATTACCATCTTTGCTCAGATGTCAATTTCTCAAAAGACCTCAGATGAAATTCTTAATCAACCCTCCCTGTTTGCTCTATATTTAGGCCACGCCATTTACCATCTCTTTCACCTAGTAGTTACTTTCTATTACATTTATTATTTATTTTTATCACCACCCAGAATAAAAGCTCCGTGAGAATAGGAATTTTGTCTGTCACTGAAACATCTCATATATTAGAAGAGTGCCTAGGAACCAATATCAGATGGCCAGTGTTTTTTGAGTGAATGATTGAATAGTCTGAACATTTCCTTCACATTCTATAGTCATTTCACAATCTATGTGAAATTCCATGCATTCTGCCCAAACTGTGTTACCCAGTCTTCCAGGCCAGGTGGCTAAGAATCTGTCTTCTTCAGCTCCCTCTTTCCATCATTTGATACTCTCGTCTGTCCACAACCATGCAGTCTGTTACCAGTTCCTGCTCCTTAACCTCTGTCCTCTTACTACCTGGCTAGCAGTCATTGTTAGCGACTAGTTGGAACTCACATCTTTAAGTGTCTTCACACTATCCCATGCGTCTCCAAGCTTCCAGTCTGTCCCTGCGTGATTCCTCCCTTGTGTGACAGCCAGAACAGTCAAACCCAAACTTGTGTCTTCCCTGCTTAAAATCTTCCTATAGCTCTACATTAGAACACTGTCCATACTGCCCCATGTTTGTCAGCATGCCCACAATCTGCCCCAAGATCGATTGGCTTCTTCCCAGCCGCACTTAGAAGGATCCCTGTATCTCCTTGGAAGTCAACTCAATAGATCTGCTCTGTCTTTCAGAACTGTCTGTGCACATGCTCTGTCTTTGGCCTCCAATGCCTTTTCCACTTGGTGCTCAGAACACACTAAGACAGGTTTGAAGTTCTGAGTCTGAAATAAGATGACCTTCTGCTCTGCTTCCATACCCGTGGCATTGGTCATTTACATTGGATTTGTTGGCTTACTTACCAATGTCACCACTCACTTAATTTTCCCAAACAGGATTTGTCCTTTGCTTCTGAATGTCTGATAAAAGCACAATACAGAGCATGTAGTCCTCACTAGATAAATGTTAAATTATCATATAAAGACAAAATCTTGTATTTTCCTCTTTCCCCACTCTGTAATGTGGCAATCTTGAGTCATGGGATGCCTTAAAAAATTGAAACAGCAGAGATATTTAGAGTGAGACATACTTGTACAGTAGAGCTCTAACTTTGGTGATCTGCTATAGTAGGGAAGAAGTGACCAAGGACTTTGGAGTCATTAGGCTTTAAATCCCAAATCTAGCCTTTACTAACTGGGTAGTCTTGGGCAAGTTTCTTAACATCTTTCTGCCTCTCTATTGATAGAAGTTGAATAGTAATTCCTGTATCATATACTTATTTTAACAATTTATTTTTATTTTATCAACCAATTTAAGATTGCTTATTTTTCCAATTGGACCTCTTCCAAGGTATTCATGAAACAGGAGATAGATGTATTCAGGGAGTCATTCTTGCCTCTTTCCCCACTCCCACTAGGAAGTGCTAAGGAATAGCACTCACTCACAGACCTTCCAGGAGAAGTCTGCTGAAGTATCTACTGTTTCCCCTTTCTCCCTTTGTCCTCAGATCCAATAGGCTCCTGTACTGCCTGTCCTTTCCAGGAGAGATATGAATGTGGAAAGGTGATTTTATGAGGTACGAATTCAAAGAAAATTTGAAATATAAACTTTGGCTCCCTAATTGGGCATTTCTGGCTCATACTGGAAGGGATCATGACCTATAGAGAGAAGAACCCTGTCCTCCCCTCTCTAGGCTCTATAACTTCATGACAAGTCATCCCTTAAAGTCAAAACACTGTTGTGAATTCAGGGATCAACACTTGTAGCCATTAAGTGGTTCTTGCCCTATACAATCAGCCAGGTCCCAGAAACCTTTCCACAGGTGCTCTGGTTCTATCCACATAGCATCACTCCTACAAGCCATCCTCCTCCAAACTCAGCTGACACTACAAAAGGCACAGTAGTGTCAGACAAAATGGTGAGAGCGAGTTTCTGCATAGACACAATGGAGAGTGGCAAGCAGAAGGCCCAGGTGGCTTGCTCCAAGCCTGGAGGGAAACTGCCCGAGAGCTTCCCTTTTCTGGAATGATGAGTGACCACTGGGATCTGACAGACTGAGTCTTGACCCTACCAATGTGTTAGGGGCTAAATCGGCAGGAGGGGGAGGATGGGGCTGGAGCATCACTTCTCCTGGGGAAAGATTAAAACAACTTGGTGGGAGGAGGTGACACAGCAAGAGCAGTACATATAAGGGCCCTCAAGGGTTGATCAATCATGGAAAATGACGTCAGATTTCATCTGATTCAAGGTCAAATTACATCAAAAGCTCTTCCAAGAACTCATTGAAGAATAAAGCAGTGAGGAGTGAGGATGGGCATCCCTGGGGGATAAGAGAAAGAGAACTACTTCTTAGGGCTAAATGAAAGTAGGCTGAGATTTACAGAGAATCTGTTCCTCCCCCCAAAGATGCAAGAGAATGTGAGCTCTACTTGCTGCCTTCCTGGCATGTCTGTTCCCTGAGCTCACACCTGACCCAGAGAGGAGCAGCCAAGGAGAAGAACTTCCTCAATCAAAAGGTTTGGTCCCATCCAGTTTCATTCTGCTGTTACCACTAGATATCTTGGTCCTTCACCTTTTTCTAGATTATAAATTTGGACCCACAGGGTGAATATGTAAAGCTCTAGCCTTAGATCTGGGGTATGTTTGCTTTAGAGAATTGGAAGACACCAAGGCTCTTCACAATACTTAGGTCCAGACTAGGGACAGGGGACACAGACTATTTCTTGTGTGCATGATGCCTTCGGGAATGCGCTTGCCCCCAATTCTTTGGGGGTTTTGATTTTGCACCAATGGAAAATGAAGAGGCTGATGATCTGAAAGGTCCTCTCCCAGGAGAACCCTGAGCAAGTGGAGAGGGCATCCCAAAGCCAAGGCTACTGTTAGTCTGTATTGGCCCAGGGACAGGCATGCTCTGAGCAAAGGGGGCCATGCAGGGGCCCCCAGACATAGTCTTTCTTGCAGAGATGCTGGCCCTCCCCACGACAAAAGGTGTGTTCTGGCTGGTCAGGCCTTGGGTGTTCTGGCTACAGCCTTTTCCAAAGGGTGTGATGGTGCTAGTTGTCCCACTTGGCACCGCTCCAATGCTGAATGCTCCAGAGTTGGAGCTCATGTCTGGGGCACTGATCCCAATCTCCCCACAGTCCATAGGGGTCACCAATACCCCAAAGGCAAAAGGTCGTGGGGCTGTGCTGCCGAACACTGAACCACAAGCCCCATTCTGGTGGGTCTGGTTGACAACTCCAATATCAGTTGTACTAGGTTGACCAAAGGGAAAACCTGCTAGAGTACTGCCCAAATTTGGCAAGATGCTGGCAGGGATGTGAAAGGTGGAGGCTGAGGGTGTCATACCCCCACAGGGTGACTGCGTGGTACTGCTGAAGTCTGGCTGAGCTGGAGTTAGGGTTGAGGTTGGGGACACCACTGCAGAGTCTCCAAAAATGAAAGAGCTACTGAAGCTTGGGCCCAGGGCTGGTTGGAGGGCTCCTGGCTTCTGCCTACCTGTAGCCCTGAATGCTGGCTGGGAGGTGGCTCCTGGGAAGAGTGGGAAAGATGGCCTCGAGCCTGACCCCAAGGAAACTGCAAATGCTGAGGTTGGATTGGAGATGCTGGATGATAATGAGGGCTGGTTTGTGGTGACCAGGGCTGAGGCTGAAAGAGGATCACCCACACCCCGAAAATTGGCAGTGCTTTTATTTGGGGATATCTGGGCAGCACTGGTAAGAACCTGGCTAAAGATGGTGACTGTGTGTACGGTGGGAATGGTAGCACGCTGCTGTGGTGGGAAGATGAAACTTGTGTCTGGAGAGAAGCTGGCTCTGAAGGCACAGGCAGCCCCAAGAAGTAAAGTGTGGCAAGTAGAAGGGATGGAGTAAGTGCTGTCCATGGTACTGGTAACATTCACGACACCAAAATCCAAAGGCTGTGTGAAAAAAAGAGTCTTTGGATGTGCTGGCTGGGGTGGTGGCCATGACTACAGAAGTCGTCTTGACCAGGCTATGGGGCAGATGGGTAGAAGTGGGAGGAGCTGGAGGAGAGGTTTGCTTGAAAGAGAAGTGAGCTATCCTAGGCAGAGTTTTCAGAGGTCCTAGGCCACCAAAGATAGGCATGAAGGTGGGAGCGAAGACAGCTGGAGTTGAAGATGCTGCAGCCACCACAGAAGTGCTGGAATATAAGGAACCTCTGATCTCACTGTAGGGTTGGGGCCCCCAAACAGGGCTCACTGTGGGGCCAGCAGAAGTTGCAGCAGGACATGAAGATGCAGGAAAATGCGGAGCTGGGCTACTCACTCCAAACAAAGTACTTTGCACAGGAAGTGTTGGCGGTGTGGGGGGTGGGGGGCATGGGAGTCCTAGGAGAGGGAGATGAGGGCCATGTGGCATCAGTGACTGGACAGGTGGGAGAAACTGGGGTCAGCAAGATGAATGTGGCTGTGGGATGTGAGTCTGAAGAAGTGCCCAGCAGGGGCCCTGACTGCATGCAGGGGAAGCCATGTGAAGACAGCAGTCTCCAGACCTCCAGAGGTGAATGGGCTACACTGACATCCTCCCCAGGAGGCTCCTGCCTGTCTGCTAAGCTTTCCATCTGTGGATTTGTGCCCTGGGTTGGAGCTGTGCCTGCAGGAGGCATGGGAAGAGACAGCGAAGGCTGAGCAGCAGACCAAGTGTCAGAGCCTGAGTGGGTGGTGCCCTCAGGCGTCTCCTCTCTGGCTGGATTGCTCCACTGGAGTCTACCTTTTTTCCGTAAGGCCAGGTCCCCTTTAGGGTCTGCATTCCCTAGCTGGGCAGGTGGGGTCTGTGACAGCAGGTTCCCAGGGCTAGAGAAAAGCTGAGGCGTCTGCAGACTTGGTTCCCCAGATGCTGCTGGGAACTGGTCCGAGTACATCAGGACCAGAGAGTGAGAATGATGACCCTTGCCTTTCTTTTTTACAGGCCTTTCTGGTGGCTGCAGGGAGGCACTGGGAACACTTCTCTTCCGAGACTCAGAGAAAGCTCTAGAAGAGCTGTAGGAACTTGCGATAGCATTTCTCCTGGAGCGGAGGGGCCACCTGTGCATGTGCTGGCCAAGGAGTTCACGGAGGAGCAACTGGGCCTCTCGTTCAAGCTGTGATCTGAGCTCCAGGAGTTGAGGCTTCTCTTCAGAGCCCCAGGCGTGGGCACAAAAGAAGTGAGGACTCCATTTTTCATCAGGGGCTTAAATGTGGATGGTCTGGCCTCAGGGACTCCTTCCCTTACCTGGCAAGCCAACGACGCGGTGGTTCTTCCAACCTCTCCCTCCCTTTCTTGCACTCTCTGAGGGCCCTCAGCACTGTCTCCTTGGCACATGGGTCTGGGGGCTTCTCCGAGGGTGAGGATCCTGCGGAGTCCCTCACCTCTGCTGGAGGGCTGGAGAGAAGCACTTTCGGCTCGGGAGGTGCTATCTTGATGGTCACCGGGCTGCACACGGCTCCGGCGTGCCGCAGAGACCAGATAGTCCGCTGGAGGTAGCTCTCCCACCAGTCCGAGGGAAGGGGCCCCACAGTGGAATTGTGGGCCCTCTCCATGGGAAAGCGCCTGCAAGACTCACTGGCCACCCACGCGGTGGGACTGGCAGGGTCGCAGTTTGGCGGCTTCCTCCCAGGTCTGTGCCGCAGGGCAGGGCAGGCGCATGGACTTGCCGAACCCGGTGGACCTGTTGAAGCGGCTGAGCCGGTCGGCGGTTCGGCGGCCTCCCGGTCTCGCCCGTGCGCACCTCTGGTGGGGACGACGGCGGGGACCCCAGCTTGCCCAGTAACTGCCCATGAGGAGCGATGAGGTGGGTCGGTTCCCGAGGTTTCTGACTGACTCAGCCGGAGTCGGAGCGCGCCTTGTTCCGCTGACGGTTGAACGGGATCCCGGCGCAAGGAAAGTGCGCGGGTCTCGGGGCGCTCGGCAGCCCCATGGGGACAGGGGAGAGTGACCGCCGCAGCTCCAGCAGCTCGCTGTGCGGTTCTGAGGCTTCAGCGGGGCGCTCAGGCCTGTGCGCTCTCGGCGGCGCGCGGGGGACCCGCCAGGAGGGAGCGCGCGATCTCGCTGGGTGCCCAGAGCGCCGCCAGGGACCGTGCGGCCCGAGTCCCCGCGCCCTCCCGGAGCTGCAGCCGAGTTGCCGACGGGTCTCCAGCTCTGACTGCGGCCGCTCAGGGGTCCAGGCGTGCGGCCCCGGCACGGATGGGTCAGCTCGCAGGTTCCCCAGAGTCGGGGTGAGCCGTGAGGTCCCAGCCCCGCAGGGTGGGTGCTGGCGGCGCTCGGGGTGCGCAGGGCTGGAGAACAGACCCGGGGCTCCGAGCAGCCTGCAACCCTGTACACCGAATTCAGGGATCACACGTTTCCCTCGCTTCTCCTTTCCTGCTGCCTCTACGTTTTCGTCTCCAGGGCCGATCATGCGCCGGGAGGACGAGCTCCGAATGCTACGACCTCCCGGACCGGTCCAGGGTCTTCCCGAGGTCCGAATCCTGGTCACCCTCCAATTGCAGGCGGGACGACAGGAGGACCCTGGAGAGGGACCCAGAGCCGGGTGGCTCCGGGCGCAGCGAGTCTAGGGCTCTGGCTTCGGGCCCGGGTAGGAGCAGGTCAGGACGGGAGACACGCGTGAAAGACCGGAGGGACGCCCTCCTCCCAGGGGCCGGATAGATTCCCTTCTCGAGTCCTTCGTGACTGTCTGTGGATGAATCTACTCCTGGAGTCTGCCCTCGGGAAAGAAAAATTCTCCGTGTTCCATTAAGTTAAAAGTACAAAGTTTCTGAATAAAAGACCCGAGGTACAGCCATGTCTGGACAAAGGAAAGGGCAGAAGTCTTGTGCTTCCCCAGAGTCCAGGCCCGAGGCTGCTCTCACTCCTCTGCTGGGCGCCCAGAGGCCTGGGTCCTTCCAAATAACGACTTTCGTTAAGTGCTTTCCCGACGGTGTATGCGCTGCCAGCCTCTCTAGACTCCAACCCATCCTGAACCAAATGCCAGAGTCTCTTTTTCACAGATAAAGTGACCACAGGGTCAGCCCCAGGGCTCCCCAACCCCAGCGGATACTCGAGCCGCCATTACATTTAACCCGGAAAGTTCCCTGGTGGCTTCCCCAGGAGGTAGAGAGAAGGGCGGTAGGACCCAGCACCAGGAGGTCAGCTGGGGGAGGGGAGCCCAGGGCAGGGACCGGGTAAAGACCCTGAGCCGGGGCTCTAGATTAGTGTTCACTAGGCAGGCATTTTACAATTCTGGGAACTTTTTATTGGATGGAAGACATTTTACAATTCTGGGAACTTCAGACAGGTGAATGAGTTTGAGAATTGCCCACTGGGAGACAGCATGATTTCAAAGATGGCTGGGCCCAAATTAGAGGGCGATATGAAAGATCTAGACAGTGGCTTTGGGGCTTATAGCCTAATGAGTAAAATTCAGCAATGAGAAGCAAGTATAAGCTCTGTAGCAGAGGATGGTTTTTGATCCACCCACCTCTGGGTTATGGGCCCAGCACGCTTCCACTGCGCCACTCTGCTTGCTGTCCCAGTTTTCCTATTTATTCTGTTAATGATGAAGATCAATCACCTTTTCTGTGTTGAGAAAATTCTTTTTTTTTTCTGAATGTTTTCCTTTCTGATAGCTTTTGCCACCCTCCTTTCTTCCATGTGTCAGAGATCCGCTCTTTCACCACCAGGTGGCCGAGGGCCGTCTCTTCGGGGCTGCGCTTTTCCAACCTGCCAAACAATGTCCAAGCTCGGGAAACTATTCTTTTTGCCCTTAATTTTGTTTATTCTTCTGGAGCTGCTCTTTGCTCAGAGAGCCGAGGAACAGCGCGCCGAGCAAAACTCCGGCGGAATCTGGAAGTCGTGGAGCCGACCCTGCTACTTACCATCAATCAGAGAAGAATCGTGTTGACTACTTCCCATGTTTCCTCCTTAAAAGTCTCATGGACCACCATTTGGATAAAATATATATATATATATATATATATATATATATATAATATATATGGTTATTTTTATTTGCTTGCAAGGGCACAGATTTTCACAAGGACGATGCTCCCAAATAGAAGGAATAAACCCAATTTATTGCTCAAATGATGATATGGTGGCCACAATTTCAGTTGGATCTCGTTTGGAACCGTTGTGACAGGCACACACACAGAAATTAAAAAATGTTTAACTAATAAAGACATAAGCTTCCATTTCCTGTGGCTTTTATCAGAGAGCAGAACTTGTTAGGACTTCTCGGAACACTAGACCTCGTGTGTCGCTGCCTCTGTGTTAGGTCCCAGGGCCCGTCTGGACAGCTGTACACCTCTCATCTTTACAAATGTCAAATTTTGCATGATGTGCAATAATGAATTCACTCATTCACAAGGCTAGGCCGTGTTACTCCATTTCAGCGTCCTCAATTAAACTGAAGGAGCAGCCTCTGCAACGTTTTCCCTCTGGGGAGTGGTGAGCGCAGCGGCACAGCGACAGCCTTTCTCGGATTCCCAGCGGCGCGCAAAGCCCTCCCGGGGCAGAGCCGGGGCGCGCACACGCACTGCACAGCTCAGGCGGCCGGGGCGGGGGGCCGGGGGCGGGGGGAGCGGGGGGTGCCCCTTCCCGGGGCGGAGCCCGGGCAGAGGCAGCCTTCCCCCGGCAGAGCTGGGGCGCGCACCCCTTGCCCACCCAGCTGCTGCAGCTCTGGCCGCAGCCTGGGGAACCGGGCAACTCCCCTAGACCAGCGTCCCCTGGCGGAAACAGACGAAGAAACACTGCTAGTCACCTCTGGGCCGATTTCGGATTTCCCTTGCTTCCAAGGAGGCTCTCATTTCAAACGGCCTTTAAATTTGGGCCTTCTTAAGGCAGTCCAGGTGGGATGGAGCTTCTGTTTAGCGAAGATTTCCTCAGGCCAAGACCAGGACAAGGATGGCCTTGAATTCAGATTTGTTTTCCCAGACTTGAGGTGAAAAAGGAGGGAGCCCAGAGACCGGAACCAGACCACGGGCAACTTGTTCTTCTTGAAGTAGAAACAGATGGACCTAGGCAAGGAAAGATACGGGAAAGGCTCAGAGCCAGGCTCCCACCAATCTCTGGGCTCCCATAAATCCCAAGGACACTGAGAGGCCCCAGAGTCAGGCATCCCAAGGAAACAGAGATAAAGCAGCAAATACAGAAAAACAAAAACAAAAACAAAACAACCACCAGGCTCCCTAGCTCCGAAATGCTAGGGAGTATCTCCCTTTGATGATTAGCACATAATCACAGAAACTCACCAGACCCCAAAGCAGCTATATGTCAATCACTCAAGACAGCACAAAGAAATCTCAAGGCCATGGGCTCCTTGATTAGGTTCTCAATAAAAGGCCAACCCAAAAAAGCCTTCAGTGGCAGCCTTGTTGGGACCCCTTTTACTCCTGAGAGCTTTCTCTGTACCTGCTTAATAAACTTCCATGGCGGGATCCCTGGGTGGCACAGCGGTTTGGAGCCTGCCTTTGGCCCAGGGCGCGATCCCGGGTCTCCAGGATCGGATCCCACGTCAGGCTCCCGGTGCATGGAGCCTGCTTCTCCCTCTGCCTGTGTCTCTGCCTCTTTCTCTCTGTGACTATCATAAATAAATAATAATAAAAAAGAAAAATCATCATTTAAAAAAAAAAGAAAAGAAATCCTCTCTGATTCAGCTTTTTCCACATCTATCCTATACATGTGAGGTGATTTCTTTTCTCCTTCACCTGCTGAAGAATTCTTGCACCCAACATACTGGATTCTCTACTTGGAGAATTCTTACCTCCTGTCTCTATAGAATTACTCCTGCCCTGGCCTTTGGTCATATGGCAGGACCAATGAATCCAAAGGCTTTAGATAGATGCCCTCCTTTCTCTGTGAATACCTCGAAGATATTTGTATATTAAGTTCCCCTTCCATTTTTCCTAGGATGAGTAATTGTTACCTTCCATTGCTATGTATGTATATAGTCCAATTGTTCCCTGTCATTTTGTTGTATGTGTAATTTTTTGTGTGTGTAACCACTACTGCAACCAAGTTACAAAGCTATTGCATTACCCACAAAGATCTCTCTCCTGCTTTCTCTCCACCCACCACTCCCCATCATCCTTAACTCCTGTAACCACCAATCTGTTTCTCATCCCTCTAATGTCATTTTGAGAATGATATATACGAGAGATAAAAAAAAAAAGTATGCGACCTTTGAAGATTGGCTTTTTTCATTTAGCACAATGCCCTTGAGATCCATCTAAATTGTTGCATACATTGGTAGTTCGTTCTTTTTTTTTTTTAAACTGTTGAGTTGTATTCCATGGAATAGATGTGTACCACCGTTGGTTTAACCAATCACCTGCTGAGAAACCCATTTGTTATTTCTAGGTTTAGGCTATTACAAATAAAGCTTCTCTGAAAAATAATGTATGGTTTTTGTGTAGACCTAAGTTTTCATTATTCCGAGGATAAATGCCTGAGAGTGGAATTGCTGGATTGTATAGTAAGTGTCATGTGTCACTTCTTTAAGAAACTGCCAAACTGCTTTCCCAAGTGGCTTCACCATTTCCCAAATGCCATCAGCCATGCGTGACAGATGCAGTTTCTCTGCATCCTTGCCAGCCATAGGCAATGTCAAACAAATAAAATTTGTTATTTTAACTCTTCTAACAGACGTGCAGTGATACTTCACCATGATCTTAATTCATACTTTCTAAATGACTAGTGATATTGAACATCTTTTCATGTGCCATTTGTATATCCTCTTTGGTGAAATGTCTTTTCATGTCTTCTGCCGATTTTGTAATTCATTGTTGTTTCAGTGTTGTGTTTGAGAGTTCTTTGTATATTCTAGATATGAGTCTTTGCCAGATATGTGGTTTGCAAACATTTTCTCCCATCTGTAACTGACCTTTTTATCCTCTTAAGAGAGTACTTTGCAGAGCAACAGCTTTTAGTTTTGATGAAATTCAATTAGTCAAATCTGTCTTCTGTGTTTGTGTTTTTGGTGTCATGTCTAAGACTCTCCAAGCCTGAAGTCCTCCAATTTTATTTTTTTCTAAAACTTTTATAGTGGGATCCCTGGGTGGCGCAGCAGTTTAGCACCTGCCTTTGGCCCAGGGCGCGATCGAGTCCCACGTCAGGCTCCCGGTGCATGGGGCCTGCTTCTCCCTCTGCCTGTGTCTCTGCCTCTCTCTCTCTCTCTCTGTGTGACTATCATAAATAAATAAAAATTAAAAAAATAAAACTTTTATAGTTTAATGTTTTACAGTAAATCTATCATTTCCAGTTAATTTTTAATAAAGTGTAGGTTTAGGTTGAGGTCATGCTTTTTTTTGCCTATGGATATCAAATTTCTCCACCACCATTTTTTTTAAAAGACTAAGACTTTTGTCCTTTCACTAAATTCCTTTTGTACTTCCGTTAAATATAACTTGGCTGTATTTGTAT